AAAAACCCCTATTAAGTTGCATTATACTGGTTTACATGGAAAAATCCCTATTAAGTTGCATTATACTGGTTTACATGGAAAAAACCCCATTAAGTTGCATTGTACTGGTTTACATGGAAAAAACCCTATTAAGTTGCATTATACTGGTTTACATGGAAAAAACCCTATTAAGTTGCATTATACTGGTTTACATGTAAAAACCCCTATTAAGTTGCATTATACTGGTTTACATGAAAAAAAACCCTATTAAGTTGCATTATACTGGTTTACATGAAAAAACCCTATTAAGTTGCATTATACTGGTTTACATGGAAAAATCCCTATTAAGTTGCATTATACTGGTTTACATGGAAAAATCCCTATTAGGTTGCATGATTACACTGAAGTCCTTGAAACTGCTGAAGTCCTTGAAACTGCTGAAGTCCTTGAAACTGCTGAAGTCCTTGAAACTGTTGAAGTCCTTGAAACTCTTGAAATCTTGAAACTGCTGAAATCCTTGAAACTGTTGAATCCTTGAAACTGTTGAATCATTGAAACTGTAGAAATGTCTGAAAGAGCTGAAGTCCTATTAAAATGCATGGGCCTATTAAAATGCATTGCAGAATTCTCAATGCAGATTTTTGTCCGATTGCGGAAAAACCGGAAATCGCTGAAGTCCCAAAAGTAATAGCAATAATCTCCCAAACATGTGGAACGTTTTGATGTATAACTTGTGGAAATTGTTGAAAATGTGAAAGCTGTGAAACGTGTCAAAAAAAATGACGGAATAAAGAAATACAAAACCAATGGTTGACTGCGGAAGGTTCCGCAGTCAATCAATAAGACTGATGCATTATTATTGATTGTGACTGCGGAACCTTCCGCAGTCAACCATTGGTTTTGTATTTTCTTTATTCCGTCATTTTTTTTGACACGTTTCACAGCTTTCACATTTTCAACAATTTCCACAAGTTATACATCAAAACGTTCCACATGTTTGGGAGATTATTGCTATTACTTTTGGGACTTCAGCGATTTCCGGTTTTTCCGCAATCGGACAAAAATCTGCATTGAGAATTCTGCAATGCATTTTAATAGGCCCATGCATTTTAATAGGACTTCAGCTCTTTCAGACATTTCTACAGTTTCAATGATTCAACAGTTTCAAGGATTCAACAGTTTCAAGGATTTCAGCAGTTTCAAGATTTCAAGAGTTTCAAGGACTTCAACAGTTTCAAGGACTTCAGCAGTTTCAAGGACTTCAGCAGTTTCAAGGACTTCAGCAGTTTCAAGGACTTCAGTGTAATCATGCAACCTAATAGGGATTTTTCCATGTAAACCAGTATAATGCAACTTAATAGGGATTTTTCCATGTAAACCAGTATAATGCAACTTAATAGGGTTTTTTCATGTAAACCAGTATAATGCAACTTAATAGGGGTTTTTTCCATGTAAACCAGTATAATGCAACTTAATAGGGGTTTTTACATGTAAACCAGTATAATGCAACTTAATAGGGTTTTTTCCATGTAAACCAGTATAATGCAACTTAATAGGGTTTTTTCCATGTAAACCAGTACAATGCAACTTAATAGGGATTTTTCCATGTAAACCAGTATAATGCAACTTAATGGGGATTTTTCCATGTAAACCAGTATAATGCAACTTAATGGGGATTTTTCCATGTAAACCAGTATTATGCAACTTAATAGGGATTTTTCCATGTAAACCAGTATAATGCAACTTAATAGGGATTTTTCCATGTAAACCAGTATAATGCAACTTAATGGGGATTTTTCCATGTAAACCAGTATTATGCAACTTAATAGGGGTTTTTACATGTAAACCAGTATAATGGAACTTAATAGGGGTTTTTACATGTAAACCAGTATAATGCAACTTAATAGGGATTTTTACATGTAAACCAGTATAATGCAACTTAATAGGGATTTTTCCATGTAAACCAGTATAATGCAACTTAATAGGGTTTTTTACATGTAAACCAGTATAATGCAACTTAATAGGGATTTTTCCATGTAAACCAGTATAATGCAACTTAATAGGGTTTTTTACATGTAAACCAGTATAATGCAACTTAATAGGGGTTTTTACATGTAAACCAGTATAATGGAACTTAATAGGGGTTTTTACATGAAAACCAGTATAAAGGATAACAGTTTAAAGGATATCAGGAGCTTCAAATACTTCAGGAGTTTCAAAGATGTTTAAAGTATTTTAACAGTTTCAAGGATTTCAAGGATTTTTCAGCTAAATTCCACATTAGATCTGTTCCGCAGTCAATCGCAATGGCTTCAGCCATTGCAACGGTTTCTAGTTATTATTATTGATTGACTGCGGAACCTTCCGCAGTCAACCATTGGTTTTGTATTTCTTTATTCCGTCATTTTTTTTGACACGTTTCACAGCTTTCACATTTTCAACAATTTCCACAAGTTATACATCAAAACGTTCCACATGTTTGGGAGATTATTGCTATTACTTTTGGGACTTCAGCGATTTCCGGTTTTTCCGCAATCGGACAAAAATCTGCATTGAGAATTCTGCAATGCATTTTAATAGGCCCATGCATTTTAATAGGACTTCAGCTCTTTCAGACATTTCTACAGTTTCAATGATTCAACAGTTTCAAGGATTCAACAGTTTCAAGGATTTCAGCAGTTTCAAGATTTCAAGAGTTTCAAGGACTTCAACAGTTTCAAGGACTTCAACAGTTTCAAGGACTTCAGCAGTTTCAAGGACTTCAGCAGTTTCAAGGACTTCAGCAGTGTAATCATGCAACCTAATAGGGATTTTTCCATGTAAACAGTATAATGCAACTTAATAGGGATTTTTCCATGTAAACCAGTATAATGCAACTTAATAGGGTTTTTTCATGTAAACCAGTATAATGCAACTTAATAGGGTTTTTTTCATGTAAACCAGTATAATGCAACTTAATAGGGGTTTTTCCATGTAAACCAGTATAATGCAACTTAATAGGGGTTTTTACATGTAAACCAGTATAATGCAACTTAATAGGGTTTTTTCCATGTAAACCAGTATAATGCAACTTAATAGGGATTTTTTCCATGTAAACCAGTATAATGCAACTTAATAGGGGTTTTTCCATGTAAACCAGTATAATGCAACTTAATGGGGATTTTTCCATGTAAACCAGTATAATGCAACTTAATAGGGGTTTTTACATGTAAACCAGTATAATGCAACTTAATAGGGTTTTTTCCATGTAAACCAGTATAATGCAACTTAATAGGGATTTTTCCATGTAAACCAGTATAATGCAACTTAATAGGGTTTTTTTCATGTAAACCAGTATAATGCCACTTAATAGGGTTTTTTTCATGTAAACCAGTATAATGCAACTTAATGGGGATTTTTCCATGTAAACCAGTATAATGGCAACTTAATAGGGATTTTTACATGTAAACCAGTATAATGCAACTTAATAGGGGTTTTTTACATGTAAACCAGTATAATGGAACTTAATAGGGGTTTTTACATGTAAACCAGTATAATGCAACTTAATAGGGATTTTTACATGTAAACCAGTATAATGCAACTTAATAGGGTTTTTTACATGTAAACCAGTATAATGCAACTTAATGGGGATTTTTCCATGTAAACCAGTATAATGCAACTTAATAGGGGTTTTTACATGTAAACCAGTATAAAGGATAACAGTTTAAAGGATATCAGGAGCTTCAAATACTTCAGGAGTTTCAAAGATGTTTAAAGTATTTTAACAGTTTTTTTCAGCAAGGATTTTTCAGCTAAATTCCACATTAGATCTGTTTCGCAGTCAATCGCAATGGCTTCAGCCATTGCAACGGTTTCTAGTTATTATTGTTATTTATCTGTGATGTGATTTAATGCACTTGAAAGTAAATTATATTGTACATTTTGACGGATAAAAAAACAAAAACCGAGGCACAGGTTGAAGGAGACACTCCGCAGAAACATTAAACTTAATTCACAAACGCGAATAAAACCAACTCAAATTCTGTAAATGTTGTTTTATAATAATGTGTTATCTCCAACAAACCGGGAATGAAATATAAAGCAGAGAATCCCCCAAAATTATCAAAAAATCAGATAAATAAACTTTGGCTTCTCCTAAAATCAAATCTTCAGCATCATTTCGACTTCCAAAAGATAAAAACGGCACAAAAATAAAAATCAACTCATTTTTGAACATCAGAAAATCACGGTCATTGAGACTATTGGTTCTCCCAACTGTCAATCATTCTTGTGACACGTGCTCGTCCAATCAGAGCCTAGAGAAGTGGAGAGGGCGGTTCTTTCCTAAAATTTGGGAAAATCCTCCTATAAACTTTTAATTTGCAAAAACATATTAGTTTCAAGTAGTTCTTTGAAAAAACAGATCTATTTAGTCCCAAAATAATTAAGCAAATACAAAACAACTTGACTTTTCTAAAATGGAGATATTTAATTTTGTGAATGAGCTCATTGTTGATTTGTCAAAAGCAGATTAGGAACAATTAAAAATGTGAATTATGCAACTTTTTTGTGAAAATGAAGTTGATGTTTTTGACAATGTCTCTGAAAACAGTTCTGTTAATCTGAGCTACAACTGAGGGATTATATTGTTATCTTTTTTTTTTTTTTAAAGTCTGTACTTCTTTCCACTCATTTTTGAGATGAATTTAATGTTAATAAAAGAAAACCTACTGTATAAATTGTCATGTGTTTTTTTTCTGTTTCTATTCTGTTGTTCTTGTTTTCCATGGCTCGAGAGAAAGTACTCATTCATTCATAATTTACTGTGATTATTAATGATTTGAAAGCCTTGTGTGACTTGTTTTGAGTGGCGTTTGTATAAAGTGTGCTCTACAAACAAACTTGCCTCGCTCTGATTTAATTTATAGTTTACATGTCACTTGGGCAGCCGTCAAAATAACTGCTCTGGGAGATCTAGCAGTTTCAGAATTCTGGGGGTCTGTGGTGATGTTTAGGTGCACATGGCGCTTGGGCATCGGTACTCACAGCAGGACGGTCCGGTTGGGCAGAAAGCTCGGGTGCAGCGTGTCCATGAGCTCCGCCTCGGCACACACCACCTTGACGCGCTGAGGCGGCTGTCTGCTCAGCTCCTTGGACCTCTCCACGTCACACTGACAGCTCTCCACCACCACGTCCGGACAGTCCCTGCTCCCCGCGACCACATCCAAGCCGAGCGCAATTACGCACATCCAAACCACGCGCACCATGGTCTCCAAAAAAAAAAAGAAAAAAAACCACCTTATTTGTTTTAAGTAATTTCCTCCCAGGCTGCACGGATCATTTCAATGTGTATTCCTTTAAAAACAAAGTAAAATCAAATGTTGTTTCAATACATCCAGGTGTGTTTGAAGCAAAGCCAAACGCACCAAAAACAATTAAATACGCGCAAAATAAAGCGTTATATCCATTGAATCCACTGCCTTCACCTTCGCTCCGTGCGTAAAGACGTCATCGCGCAGCCTTCAAAGTCCTGTCAAAGTTTTGGCGCAGAAAAAGCCCCACATAGATCCAGTAACGAGGAGGAATCCTGACCCGCGCCGGTGCTGAAGGAGCGGGTGTGTTCGGAGTTAAAGTTGCCTCTCTTCATCCACTGCTTGGGACTTGTTGAGCCGCGGAGTCCAAAGCCCCGCCCCCCTCCGTGTCCCGGGACCGCGTGGGCTCAGACCGTAGACCAGAGACCATAGACCAGAGACCAGAGACCAGAGACCAGAGACCCGCTTCATTCAGAGACATCAGGGTGGTCAGCAACAATACGCAGTCTAATATGGGACAGGACTCCAATGTGCCAACGAGACAAAGAGGAACAGTTTGAGTAGACGCTTTGTAGAGTCTTGGGAGGTCTGACTTTCATGTTGTAATCCAATCCACTTTATTTATATGGTACGTTTCATAAACACATTTTCCAAAGTGCTGCACAATAAAATACTAATCAAAACAAATCCATAGTAAAACAGTAAAATCATTAAAAATCAAATATGAAAAAACATGTGTGTATATTTATAAATATAAAAATAAATGACATACAACTCACGCTGTGTTAAAGCCAAAAAAGGTATAAAACTATTCACAATAACAAAGATCTGAACCATAAACTGTAAATAATAACAGATATATCTTCATAACTTGTACAGAATTTCTCAGAATTATCTTGACGTAGCAGCAGTCAAATGGCTCTGGGAGTTGCAGTAGTTTCAGAATTCTGTAAATTAGTATATTTCTGTAAATTAGTACATTTTGTGTGAAAGTAACGCTCTGAACAAACACGACCAAAACATCTGATTCAGAACATTTGTGTTTATGAAAAAGCAAAGATAATACTGTACATGATTAAAATGTCTCGGGTTGTAAAGTTAATCAGATAAAATAGTGTTTCAGGAGTGGCCCTTGCTCCGCTCCAGGACTCTCTCTGGACTAAAGTCTGGTTTATCAAAGACACATTTACAGACGATGAAACCTGGTCTCATCACAGTCTGTTTTCTGTAAACAAACCAAACCTGTCATTTACAGTTTTCTAAAGTCTCCTCCTGAACAGAGCAGCTCAGAGTCGGGCTGTGGCCAAATGTGTTTGAGTTCAGACTAAAGTGCTTCTGCCTTAAAGTGATGACATTACACTAATAATACTATTGTAGATTCAGAGCATTTTAAAGCTGAGGTACCTAACTTCAAAACAACAATAATGCATTTGTAATCAAATCCGTCTCAAAACTAGTAGTTTCCTTTTAAAAGTTTCCACAAGCACAGTCACCCTCCCTCAGCCAATCAGAGCTCAGCTCAGTTGATCAGCTGATTCCCTGATGAGCAGGAGCTCAGCAGGTGAGTGTGATGAGGGAGTAAAAAAGGTCCACACGCGCAAATAATACACACACTCAGCTTTATTTAATTCACACGTGCGCAGACTCTCCAGGCTAATGAGGTCATTAGGAGAGAATATTAAACATTTACAAACTAAACACGTCCTGGTGTTAGCCTATAGTATCCACAAGAGTGTACACACCACGTTAAAGGAATAGTTCACCGTTTTTACATACTGACATATGTTCTTACCTTACCTTAGACTAGTTAATACGTACCTGTGTGATCTTAGTCCGTGCGCTCTGTCATGCAAACGGAGCAAAAACGGGAGGACAAATGCAGCCTCCCCTGTATACTGTGTAGCACCAAAAGGTAGGTCCCGCTAGAAGCTACCAAACTCTTCCAAGTGTTCCCTATTAAATGTATATAGTTACGTGACGTGTTACACTGCAAAGTATAGTAACACAGAAATGTAACAGTCGATTTTCTCAGCGGATAAAACGGGTACTATATTGTGAGGCGTAGTAATCTGAGGAGCGCTACGTCCGCGCACTAACTTCTCTCTGTACTACAAGTCACGCTGCTTCTATTGACTGAAGTGAGCGAGAGAGAAGTCTCCGGACAGAAGTTAGTGCGCGGACGTAGCGCACCTCAGATTACTACGCCTCACAATATAGTACCCGTTTTATCCGCTGAGAAAATCGACAGTTACATTTCTGTGTTACTATACTTTGCAGTGTAACACGTCACGTAACTATATACATTTAATAGGGAACACTTGGAAGAGTTTGGTAGCTTCTAGCGGGAGCTACCTTTTGGTGCTACACAGTATACAGAGGAGGCTGCATTTGTCCTCCCGTTTTTGCTCCGTTTGCATGACAGAGCGCACGGACTAAGATCACACAGGTACGTATTAACTAGTCTAAGGTAAGGTAAGAACATATGTCAGTATGTAAAAACGGTGAACTATTCCTTTAAAGACTACAATAGCCCAGTTAGGGTTAGAAAAAAGATATACAGTCTGTGGATTAATCATACGCTTTCCATGCATCTCCCAGCTGCAGTGGGCTGTTTACCTTTCACTGGCCCCGCCCCCAAGCTACAAAAGTTTTTCACACACGCGTAGAAGAGATGGCAAAAGTGTTCAACGCAGACCACAGACCACAGACCACGGACCACGGACCACGGACCACAGACTCACAGACTCACAGACGACAGACGACAGACGACAGAACACAGACCACGGGAGAGGGCGAGTCACGAGCGTGTGTGTGAAATGTGCGCGTGGTGAGTAGTTGTGTGCGTGTGAATTAAATAAAGCTGCGCGTGTGAATTAAATAAAGCTGTGCGTGTGAATTAAATAAAGCTGTGCGTGTGAATTAAATAAAGCTTAGGTCCCGTGAGGTCCAGTGAGGTCCAGTGAGGTCCAGTGAGGTCCAGTGAGGTCCCATGTGTCCACATTCCTCCCTCATTATCCTCCTTTGTCTCGTCACAGGACCACAGCACAAAGCTCCCACTGAGGCCTGAGAGAGAACATGGACCATGTCAAACACAACATAGATATAGTTTAGAGATATTTTAGAGATGACCATATTTATCCTTTAGTCAGTTCATGTTGTTATCTAAATGACAAAAACAAAAAAAAATATTAAAATTCTATATTCAGTTGATTAGATTTCATTCACATGTTTAGTCAATATTGTGTATTATCTTCTTCCCTTTGATCCATTTCTGGGACGGGGAAGAAGTGGGGTTAAGTGTCTTGCCTAAGGGCACAACATCAGTGGGAGTCGTGAAGTAGGTCACAACCTTCAGGCTCAAAGGCCAATGCTCTACCAACTGAGCCACTGTCGCCCACTAAAACAACTGAAATGTAATAAGAAAATGTTTTAACCACGGTCTGCTTCACTCTTGTCTCGTTTGCTGAAAGAAAGTGCAGTTTGGACGACATCTTCTCGCCCTGAGGTTGTGTATGAATCCAAACTTTAAAACTGAGCTCTTAGAATGATCAATGATTATTCTAAGCACTTTAATGCTCTAATGACATCACAGCCCACAGCCCTAATGACATAAGATAAGATAAGATAAGATAAGAATTCCTTTATTCGTCCCACAGTGGGGAAATTTCGATGTTGCAGCGCACAGACAGGACAGTAGTAAGAGCACACAGGGATCACACACAATATATACACTATATACAAATAAGTAGTAGCTATGTTTCTTAGCTAACATAACTAGCTGTAGATGCTGAAAATGCTTCAATACCAGTCAAAATATATATATGTAGTAGTGCAGTTATATACTGTACAGTTAAATAGTGCAGGATAAAAAGTATATAAGTAAAGTGACATTCTGAAGGAGCACATTGCACATGATTTAAGAATTTACTTAATTACAGTTGAATGAAATTTACAGGCTCAGCAGTTCTTATTGTACAGTCTGACAGCAGCAGGAAGGAAAGACCTACGGAACCTCTCCTTCACACAGCGAGGGTGAATTAGTCTGTCACTGAAGCTGCTCTCCAGAGCAGAGGGAGTGTCCTGCAGGGGGCGACAGTCATGGTCCAGCATAGATGTTAGTTTGCTCAGGACCCTCCTGTCCCCCACCTGCTGCAGCCCTAATAATAATAATAATAATACATCGGTTTTATATAGCGCTTTTAAAAAACACACACACACATTTAGATAATCTTTCCCCGCTCCCGCCAACCCCTTTCGAGTAGAACATCTAGGTGTTCAAGCCAATCACGCGCCAGTCTGGGGGTTTAGGGCGGGATATCCGGGTTTGACGAAAGCAAGAAGTGCCGGGCCAAAGCAAAACAAACATGGCTACGCAGGAGGATGGACGCGTAGCTGAGGCTATCAAGTCAGTTTTAGCAGAATCTCCCATTTCTTTTTTGAAAGATGAACAGCGAGAGGCGCTTTGTGCATTTCTGGACGGCAACCTTGGTAGGCGGGCACACAGCGTCACTTCGCCCAATCAGCTTGAAGTATTCTGCTGCTTATCCCTCCTTTCCCCGAAAGGATTCTCCTGCAGAGGTCCCAGATTGATATTGTGGAGAACGCATTAGAGTTCTACACAATCATCAATCTGGCTCTTGCCAGGTTAACATTTAGACAGACACAAACTAAAAATCTAAAAGCAGGAAAGAAGCTGAAACTAAGAGTCGTATGCCTGGAGGAAGAGGTGAGTTTTTAGCTGTTTTTTGAAGGAGTTTAGTGAGTCTGAGTTTCTGAGGTGAAGGGGGAGAGAGTTCCAGAGAGTGAGGAGAGTCTGCAGATCGGGAGGGACTGTAGGGCTGTAGAAGTTCAGTGGGGTCTGGAGGAGGTTATGGAGGGCTTTGTAGGTGATGAGGAGGATTTTGAAATGGATGCTGTTTGATGGGGCCAGTGGTGTTTATGAAGGACAGGGGTGATGTGTTCTCTGGAGCGGGTCTGAGAGATGAGGCGGGCGGCAGAGTTTTAGACATATTGCAGTTTTTGGAGATCAGATGAAGGAAGGCCGTATAAAAGACTAATGACATCACAGCCTTATGACATCACAGCTTTATGACATCACAGCCTTATGACATCACAGCCCTAATGACATCACAGCCTTATGACATCACAGCCTAATGACATCACAGCCCTAATGACATCACAGCCTGTTAGTAGAGTTGTTGGATTTTCATTAAAGTGAATTAGAATATATTAAAAGTTTAGACAGCTTTGGGTTAAGCTACTGTGTGATGGGATGTGATGGACGCATCAGCAGCATTCTCCCATCCCCCAGCCATTAAACACAGGAAGTTAACTCACTGACTGCCAGGCATTTTCAGATTTGAGAAGTGCATTCTGCCAGCAATTTCAGGTGATTTGACCCAACTTTGAAGTGCCACAGAATATTCATTTTTTAGACGATGTAAACACCAAGGGCACTAAATTAAAGATTCACCTCTCTGCTTTACTCTGAAAAAAACAGTTTGTTTCTACCTCTTACCGTTCTTGCGTTATTTGCCATAGAACAAAGCATACTTTCACTCATAACACCTGGTCTGAGCAAGAAAACAGAGAAAACGAGCTGTATGTAAACAGGAACATATCAAGCAGAAAAGAGACTTTTAGATGCATTTTTGCTGCTTTAGTGACAACTCAAAACATCTTCACACTTGTTCTATTACAAAAATTATAAAAACATGACTCTGAAATAATACTTTTGATGGCAAATTGCAATTGCAATTTATTCACAGATAGAAAATTTAACTTTCTTCTATACCATCAACCAAAACGTCAAACAACAATAACACAAAGATCAATAAAACTATAGATGTATAAAATAGAATGAAGCATGTGAATTTGAGTGTGTGTGTGTGAATGTCAGTGTGCGAGTGAGTGTCTGTGTGAGTGAGTGTCTGTGTGTGTGAATGTCAGTGTGCGAGTGAGTGTCTGTGTGCGTGAGTGAGTGTCTGTGTGTGTGAATGTCAGTGTGCGAGTGAGTGTCTGTGTGCGTGAGTGTCTGTGTGTGTGAATGTCAGTGTGCGAGTGAGTGTCTGTGTGCGTGAGTGAGTGAGTGAGTGCGTGTGAGTGTTTGTGAGTGTGTCCGATAAATCATGATCAGGTTTGCTGAACGAATCCGAGGCATCAGTAACAACAGCAGCTGATACGCTGCGAGAGGCGGAAGGTGTGTCCCTGCTCCGGGCTCTGGGCTGCAGATACGGACCTCCACCGGGGTCTCCACTCTCTCCCCTCTCGACCTCACTCACTGATCCGCGAGTCAATCCCTGAAGCAGTGTCAGCTGCTTATAACTATTCTTTTTCGCCATCACTCTTGCTATACTATCGCTAAACTAGATCGCTGATCCGTCTCAATGCTACGCTATCATCACTCTGCTACAGCACCACGCTCTCCAAACACTCCCACACTCCTCCTCCTTCTCTCCACTGACTTATGACCTCTCCTGTGGTGCAATACTGCATCCTACTGGTGGTGATTTATCATTACAGGTACATTTGCACTATATATCAGTGTTGTGGGTCATTCAAAAGGTGCGCCAGACATTACTGCAGCCTCCCGTGTAATAACACGAAAAAATCGTCAAACTCGTCATGGGCAGTGAGCGTTACTATTCAACATGACGAGTTTTGTCGTCATGGGCAGTGAATGAGTTAAATTAAGAAGAGCGCAGAGAACATCTGTTTAGAGTAGCCTCAGGCTTACTTACACAGGGGCTATTTGTTTGTCCTGAAACAGAGAAGGTATTGTCTTCACCTAAGGATGGTGGGACATATGGTCACATGTGTTTCAAATTATCATGGTATAAGACAAGAGCTCTTTGGTCCATTTCTTGGTCACTCTGCTGCTTTCCATCCAGCAGAGACCCAGACTAAGTAAGTAAGTAATCTTTATTTATATACCGCCTTTTCACTGCACATCGGAGTCTCAAAGCGGTTTACAATTGTTATTTTTGGGAGTGGGGGTGCCAGAACAGGAGGCACATGCCATACCTATTGTACATATTTTTAGTGGTAGGGGAAACCGGAGCACCCGGAGGAAACCTACGCAGACACGGGGAGAACATGCAAACTCCACTCAGAAAGGCCCTGGTCCAACCGGGATTTGAACCCAGGACCTTCTTGCTGAGAGGCGAGAGTGCTATCCACTCAGCCACCGTGCCGCCAGACTAGACTGTAGTCTGTAACATGTCTGTTTGTGCTGATGTCCAGATAACCTGTAGTTTTGAACCAGCGGCTGACAACATGTATTAAAGAGATTATGTTGTTGAAATGTCATCACACAGCCCTAATGACATCACAGCCCTAATGACATCACGGCCCTAATGACATCACAGCCCTAATGACATCACAGCCCTAATGACATCACAGCCCTAATGACATCACAGCCCTAATGACATCACAGCTCTAATGACATCACAGCTCTAATGACATCACAGCCCTAATGACATCACAACCCTAATGACATCACAGCCCTAATGACATCACAGCCTTATGACATCACAGCCCTAATGACATCACAGCCCTAATGACATCACAGCCCTAATGACATCACAGCTCTAATGACATCACAGCCCTAATGACATCACAGCCCTAATTACATCACAGCCCTAATGACATCACAACCCTAATGACATCACAGCCCTAATGACATCACAGCCTTATGACATCACAGCCCTAATGACATCACAGCCCTAATGACATCACAGCCCTAATGACATCACAGCCCTAATGACATCACAGCCCTAATGACATCACAGCTCTAATGACATCACAGCCCTAATGACATCACAGCCTTATGACATCACAGCCCTAATGACATCACAGCTCTAATGACATCACAGCTCTAATGACATCACAGCCCTAATGACATCCCAGCCCTAATGACATCACAGCTCTAATGACATCACAGCTCTAATGACATCACAGCCTTATGGCATCACAGCCTAATGACATCACAGCCCTAATGACATCACAGCCCTAATGACATCAAAGCTCTAATGACATCACAGCTCTAATGACATCACAGCCCTAATGACATCACAGCCCTAATGACATCACAGCTCTAATGACATCACAGCTCTAATGACATCACAGCCCTAATGACATCACAGCCTTATGACATCACAGCCCTAATGACATCACAGCCTTATGACATCACAGCCCTAATGACATCACAGCTCTAATGACATCACAGCCCTAATGACATCACAGCTCTAATGACATCACAGCCCTAATGACATCACAGCCTTATGGCATCACAGCCTAATGACATCACAGCCCTAATGACATCACAGCCCTAATGACATCACAGCTCTAATGACATCACAGCTCTAATGACATCACAGCCCTAATGACATCACAGCCCTAATGACATCACAGCCCTAATTACATCACAGCCCTAATGACATCACAACCCTAATGACATCACAGCCCTAATGACATCACAGCCTTATGACATCACAGCCCTAATGACATCACAGCCCTAATGACATCACAGCCCTAATGACATCACAGCCCTAATGACATCACAGCCCTAATGACATCACAGCTCTAATGACATCACAGCCCTAATGACATCACAGCCTTATGACATCACAGCCCTAATGACATCACAGCTCTAATGACATCACAGCTCTAATGACATCACAGCCCTAATGACATCACAGCCCTAATGACATCACAGCTCTAATGACATCACAGCTCTAATGACATCACAGCCTTATGGCATCACAGCCTAATGACATCACAGCCCTAATGACATCACAGCCCTAATGACATCACAGCTCTAATGACATCACAGCTCTAATGACATCACAGCCCTAATGACATCACAGCCCTAATGACATCACAGCTCTAATGACATCACAGCTCTAATGACATCACAGCCCTAATGACATCACAGCCTTATGACATCACAGCCCTAATGACATCACAGCCTTATGACATCACAGCCCTAATGACATCACAGCTCTAATGACATCACAGCCCTAATGACATCACAGCTCTAATGACATCACAGCCCTAATGACATCACAGCCTTATGGCATCACAGCCTAATGACATCACAGCCCTAATGACATCACAGCCCTAATGACATCACAGCTCTAATGACATCACAGCTCTAATGACATCACAGCCCTAATGACATCACAGCCCTAATGACATCACAGCTCTAATGACATCACAGCTCTAATGACATCACAGCCCTAATGACATCACAGCCTTAATGACATCACAGCTCTAATGACATCACAGCTCTAATGACATCACAGCCCTAATGACATCACAGTATATGAAGTACCACAGAGCTCATGGGGAGTGCAGTAGTCCCACCTCTCGTCTTCACTCGTGGGCTTCCTGTGTTCTTTACTGTCGCTCACACTTGTTTACACAGATGCAGGTCCAGCTCCGGGCGGGACGTCCTGAGCCGGGTCAGAGCATCACGGCTCCCAGGAGGCTGTGGGAGAGACCGGACCATCAACTGAAGCTCGTCCATCTGCTGCTCGACATAAACAGGACAGGGGAGAAGAATGAGAAAAGTTAGAAACGCAAGAACAGTATTTTAAAAGCCGTTTAACGAGTATCACTATTTTAGTACACAGGTGCAGAACCCACACCTTTACGGCCATGTTTATACCGTACATTTATTGTTTATACTGTATTTTGTTTATTGTGTGTTTTCTCTGTCTTTTTTTGCATTAAATGATTTATATTATCTAACTGCATTTAATTACCTTGCTTACTCACCTGTGCCATTGCCTGAAATAAATTAATAAATGAAGTGCACAATATACTGTAGTAATGTTAGAATGTGCGACATGGACCCACATGTACTCGCTGTCACTCAGTCCCTCTTAACCCAGAACCCTCAACCCGGTGTTGGTTATAGATTTGTTGTTGACAAAACTCTTGTCTATTCAGCTGTTATGGTCCCAGCTGGATTCGTCTGCATATCTGGCAACCTGAGTCAGGGAGAGTGGGAAAGGCTGCAGTACCATTTTGGCCACATTTTTACACACTGCTCCTTTTATTATCTGACATATTTTGGCGGAAGTATATAGTTTGTGTTCCCATCTGAGTTTAAATGAATATTACAGGTAAACAATAAGCTGTATCCTTTACTCTTTAACAGAGTTCCACAGACGTCTCTCTCGGTCTGAGCAGCTCCCACGTTCAAAGCAAACAGCGGCGTCTGTCTGTTCACGGCTCTGCTTTATAAACCTGTGACACAGATGAAGCAGCGGAATCCTCACCAAATATTTACCGTGCGCCTCATTAGAACTCGCTGAATCAGGAGTGATGCAGTTTTATAGACTCCTCGTTGCATTAACTGTAGTCTTCTGACGGGTTTTATTCTGAGGAGAACCTTCAGAAGTAGGTCTCTAACATCTGACAGGGTTTTCACCTTCAATTCAATTAATTGTATTCTTGTAGAGGCCTCAATCACAACAGTACATTATGTATCTTAGTGTCTTAATCTCTTCATCTCAAAGGACTCTGTCATGAAGCAATGTGAATGAGGACCCAAAAATGGAGAAAGGCAAAATAATGACTTAATAAAGACAATAAAATAAATGTCCAGAGTGAAAATGAAACTCAGGATCCAGGAACAGGACGGAACAGAATACTCATGGACGTTTTGGCTTTTGTGAGTGGGGTTGGGGGCAATAATGTTCCTGCAGACTCTAAAATGTGTTTGTTGCAGAGTGTATGTTACAGTATATGTACCGCAAGATGATAGGAAAAGATTTAATGATCAGCGACTGATAAGTAAAGGAGACCAAACTGAACGACAAATGTTGGTCAGATTCGCCTCTGTCTTGGCTCCGATCTGCGAGACATTCATTCTTACTTCATAGAAAACCCGGGACCGAACCAGGACCTGCAGAATGCACTGGGACGGTTTGCAGCCGAGTGTGAAGCGGCTGGGAGGAGAATCAGCTTCAAATCCGAGGTCATGGTGCTCGACCGGAAAAAGGTGCTTGGTCCTCTCCAGGTGGAGAGGTCCTTCCTCAAGTGGAGGAGTTCAAGTATCTCGAGGTCTTGTTCAGGAGTGAGGGAAGAATGGAGCGGGAGTAAAGCTTCTCCACGTCAAGAGGAACCAGTTGAGGTGGCTCGGGCATCTATTCCGGATGCCTCCTGGACGCCTCCCTGGGGAGGTGTTCCAGGCACGTCCCACCGGGAAGAGGCCCCTGGGAAGACCCAGGGCACGCTGGAGGAACTATGTCACTCAGCTGGCCTGGGAACGCCTTGGGGTCCTTCCAGATGAGCTGGAGAAAGTGTGTGGATGGACCAGAATTTAACCAGACTGACGTTGAGCTTCTCTTATCTTAGCTACATAAGACAATAGAAGTGTCTTACTTCTGTTAATTATTTCCATAGTTTCATTCCGAGACAGAAACACATTTTACTTTAGTTCCTTAGCATATTAAAACATGTTAAATGATTAAGTCACACTCTTCAAAGATCAAAACTCTGGACCCCCGGCTTCTGCTTGATGTAAGTTGGTATTTACTGTCAGTAATGTTGCACTGTAAAAAACTGACACCGTGTGAGTGAGGACTTCAGATGTGAGAGTCTGAGATTGATCCCGTCTCTTCTGCAGAAGTGGAGATGGTCGAGCTCCCGGCGGGACGCCCAGAGGCACCGGTGATGGATGGGTCTGAGTCTGCTGAATAATCTCCCCACGGGCCAATGACGGGCTCATATTAAACATTATACAGATGCTTAAGGTCAGCGCTGATGGATACGCTGAGATTCCATGTTTCAACGCCTCACTGCAACACGGGTTCATGAACCCGTACAGACTCCCAGGGGGCAATGCAAATGAGGCGTTTCAGAACATCAGACTCGTATCAAAACCACGGGACACAAAACTATATCCAGGGACAGACTGTCGATGGCGCTCTTTTGAGTAGCTCTGGATTTGGATTTCATAACATGCTGGATATTTCAACTGTGTGGTACTTGCTTCTTATTATTCTAAATCTCAGGGGGCTTTGTGTTTAATTCTTGCTTCTTCATCAGGCTAAAGTTTGAAATTGTAAAACTATTTTCATGCTAGACTTTTGGTACAGAGTTGTTTGTCAGTTATAAGTGCTGTGTGCTCCTCATTCCTACTGCTCTGTAACTTGCAACACTGAAATTTCCCCACTTTAAAACAAATAAAGTAATCTTAATCTTACTATACAACTACAACTATGTAAATGCAGACTATACACACAAACACATCCAAGTAGATTGATTGTTGGTCATCAAAAGCCCCTTTTCCACCAACTTTACTTTTGAAGTGCTTTGGAGGATCTTGGTCTTTAAAATGTGCTTAATGAATAAACATTACTAACTTACGACTTACTTTATACGGTCTTACTCCACTCTACTCGGCTCTACTGGGACCCTATGGGAGGTACTTTAAATGATGTCGTAGGTCACGTGACTGGGCGGCAAAACAGCAGCAAAGGCAACATGGATGCTACGGAGTTAGCTAGTTTCAGACGTTTGGAGAGAGGTTTTAAACTAAACTAAACTCAATCAAATCCTTTTCTTTTGTGGTGAGGAAAAGTGTGTCTGTCTGTGAGCAGCACAACTCAAAATGCTTTGGGAGACTTTGAACAAAACACAACAATAGCCCTTTGAAAAACTGATTCAATATCAGAGGAGATCCAAATCACCGTCCTCATGCAGGAGCTGTAACTTTAGGCGGTGGTTTGTGCTCTACGAGTGCTTTTCTTTACAGTGTAGTCTTATTATTCTGAATGTTTCACTCTAAGCTCTACTTCCAGTTCGTAAAATTCCTGATTATTTTCCCCATAGGACAGGCATGTACAATATTAAGTGGCCCGCTGCCTCGCTGATTCTAAGAAGCCTTTAAAGACCTTATGCCGGGTTTAAAAAAAAAATTTGTGGATATCAAAATTGCATGACAATGTCGATCTGAAATAGATTCTGGCAAAAAAAATCCTATATTTTATAAAAAGAACGTGTTTTTCATGAATTTAAGCTGTCTATGCTCTAACCTGTGTGTGACGTCACAGCGGGTAACGCCCATGCATTGAAAACCATGGATCTATGCCACAGGACTGCCATTTCTCTCTTCTCTCCACTGATGCCCAACACAATACTGCCCTCTACAGGTGACAATTGCTCACTACACATAAATTGCCGTTTTCAGAGTGAAAAAGTGTCCGAGGTGGGATTTGAACCCAAGTATCTGGATTGACAATCCATCGACACAACCACTGGACTATCTCAGTGACAACAAAGATTTGTAATCTAGTAGTTACCTCAGACTCTCTGTACACGGCCTTGTCATCTTGAATATCCGCGAAAAAAGAACGAATATCAAATTATAAACAACTTACAGCGTTGAAACGTACCCACTCTGACGTCACCAAGGGCTGTGAAGTTTTTTCGTCTCTAAGGGCGTTGCTATGGGGTTATTTCGATTTGGGGGATCAGACAAAAAAAACAACAATTGATTTTGAAACCTTTAGTAGTTCTCTTCTAATATAAAATGGTATTAAAACTGTATTTCTAAATAAATCAAACCCGGCATAAGGTCTTTAAGGTCATAAACACAAGTTCACAGTGTCATCCAGCCAACTTCAGCTCAGTCAATATAGGTTTGGTATCTCGCTGTAAAGAAAGAAACTCTAGAATTTAGCTCTTGACCTTATTTGTACATAATGTCATTTGTTTTTGATTGTGTCAAAACAAAATGTTACTGGCGCTAATGTAGCAGGTGAGATGGTCCTTTTGTCATTCAGCCAACTTCAGCTCTGTCATAGATAATTAGAAGTCTCAGATCGGTTTTACAATCTGGGCTGTCGGTCCCTGGACAAGCCCGGAAAACTAAAGTGGTCCTCTTCCCAAAAAAGTATGGGTGTGTGAGTGTGTGTATACTGTATGTATATTTATAACTTTTTTGTTTTTGCTCTTATCTTTAAAATAAAATATTGATGATGAGAAAAAGTTTGGACACCTCTGCCATAGGGGTTTATAAGTGATGACAGACGCTAACTAGCCACCACGGTTTTTTAGCGCTCATTCCACTACCGCAATCTGTCATTTCTCTAAAGTTTCTCTAACGTAAAAAAGTTGGATACGGTTCCAGTGTCAACAGCTGAAACTTGAAGCAGTTTGACAGTGGTATAGACAGACGACATATTTCCATTAACACATATAAAAATAACACTTTTTATATTTTCTCTTCTCAAGCTGGTTTTATGCGATGCCTTTTTTGCAGGATTTCAATGAAGCAGCTTGTTTGAATAGAAATGAGACACTACTTTCCATGACTTCCCACTAAAGTGACAGAAAAGTTATGCGCCCATTAATAGGTGTAGGAAAGAACCGGGGGGAACCATGGCAACCGGAGTGGCTGGAGGGAGGCTGCTGCTACCGCTAATGCTAATTTTAGCTGGACTTCGACCCGGCGAACAACAGCATGGAATAAAATCTAATTACACGTTACTCACTGAGCCTGTGTGAAGCTGTGGCTGTGGCTGTAGCTGTGGCTGTAGCTGTAGCTGTGGCTGTAGCTGTGGCTGTGGCTGTGGCTGTGGCTGTGGCTGTAGCTGTGGCTGTAGCTGTGGCTGTGGCTGTAGCTGTGGCTGTAGCTGTGGCTGTGGCTGTGGCTGTGGCTGTGGCTGTAGCTGTGGCTGTAGCTGTGGCTGTGGCTGTAGCTGTGGCTGTAGCTGTAGCTGTGGCTGTAGCTGTAGCTGTGGCTGTGGCTGTGGCTGTGGCTGTAGCTGTGGCAGTAGCTGTGGCTGTGGCTGTAACTGTGGCTGTAGCTGTAGCTGTGGCTGTGGCTGTAGCTGTGGCTGTAGCTGTGGCTGTGGCTGTGGCTGTAACTGTGGCTGTAGCTGTAGCTGTGGCTGTGGCTGTGGCTGTAACTGTGGCTGTAGCTGTGGCTGTGGCTGTAGCTCTGGCTGTAGCTGTGGCTGTGGCTGTAGCTGTGGCTGTGGCTGTAGCTGTAGCTGTAGCTGTGGCTGTAGCTGTGGCTGTGGCTGTAGCTGTGGCTGTGGCTGTGGCTGTGGCTGTAGCTGTGGCTGTAGCTGTGACTGTGGCTGTGGCTGTGGCTGTGGCTGTGGCTGTGGCTGTGGCTGTGGCTGTAGCTGTGGCTGTGGCTGTAGCTGTGGCTGTGGCTGTAGCTGTGGCTGTGGCTGTGGCTGTGGCTGTAGCTGTGGCTGTGGCTGTGGCTGTGGCTCTGGCTGTGGCTGTGGCTGTAGCTGTGGCTGTGGCTGTAGCTGTGGCTGTAGCTGTAGCTGTGGCTGTGGCTGTGGCTGTAGCTGTAGCTGTGGCTGTGGCTGTAGCTGTGGCTGTGGCTGTGGCTGTAGCTGTAGCTGTGGCTGTGGCTGTGGCTGTAGCTCTGGCTGTGGCTGTGGCTGTGGCTGTAGCTGTGGCTGTGGCTGTAGCTGTAGCTGTGGCTGTGGCTGTGGCTGTGGCTGTGGCTGTGGCTCTGGCTGTGGCTGTGGCTGTAGCTGTGGCTGTAGCTGTGGCTGTGGCTGTAGCTGTGGCTGTGGCTGTGGCTGTGGCTGTGGCTGTGGCTGTGGCTGTGGCTGTGGCTGTAGCTGTGGCTGTAGCTGTGGCTGTGGCTGTGGCTGTGGCTGTGGCTGTGGCTCTGGCTGTGGCTGTGGCTGTAGCTGTAGCTGTGGCTCTGGCTGTGGCTCTGGCTGTGGCTGTGGCTGTGGCTGTGGTGGCTGTGGCTGTGGCTGTGGCTGTGGCTGTGGCTGTGGCTGTGGCTGTGGCTGTGGCTGTGGCTGTGGCTGTGGCTGTGGCTGTGGCTGTGGCTGTGGCTGTGGCTGTGCTGTGGCTGTGGCTGTGGCTGTGGCTTGGCTGTGGCTGTGGCTGTGGCTGTGCTGTGGCTGTGGCTGTGGTGCTGTGGCTGTGGCTGTGGCTGTGGCTGTGGCTGTGGCTGTGGCTGTGGCTGTGGCTGTGGTAGCTGTGGCTGTAGCTGTGGCTGTGGCTGTAGCTGTGGCTGTGGCTGTGGCTGTGGCTGTGGCTCTGGCTGTGGCTGTGGCTGTGGCTGTGGCTGTGGCTGTAGCTGTGGCTGTGGCTCTGGCTCTGGCTGTGGCTGTGGCTGTGGCTGTGGCTGTGGCTGTGGCTGTGGCTGTAGCTGTGGCTGTGGCTGTGGCTGTGGCTGTGGCTGTGGCTGTGGCTCTGGCTGTGGCTGTGGCTGTAGCTGTGGCTGTGGCTGTAGCTGTGGCTGTGGCTGTGGCTGTAGCTGTGGCTGTGGCTCTGGCTGTAGCTGTGGCTGTGGCTGTGGCTGTGGCTGTGGCTGTAGCTGTGGCTGTGGCTGTAGCTGTGGCTGTAGCTGTGGCTGTGGCTCTGGCTGTGGCTCTGGCTGTGGCTGTGGCTGTGGCTGTGGCTGTAGCTGTGGCTGTGGCTGTAGCTGTGGCTGTGGCTGTAGCTGTGGCTGTGGCTGTGGCTGTGGCTGTAGCTGTGGCTGTGGCTGTGGCTGTGGCTGTGGCTGTAGCTGTGGCTGTGGCTGTGGCTGTAGCTGTGGCTGTGGCTGTGGCTGTAGCTGTGGCTGTGGCTCTGGCTGTAGCTGTGGCTGTGGCTGTGGCTCTGGCTGTGGCTGTGGCTGTGGCTGTGGCTGTAGCTGTGGCTGTGGCTCTGGCTGTAGCTGTGGCTGTGGCTGTGGCTCTGGCTGTGGCTGTGGCTGTGGCTGTGGCTGTGGCTGTAGCTGTAGCAAGGAGCAGGAGGATTCAGAGAAAACACAGGAGACATCTGTGAGGAGGGAGGACCTTCTAGTATTAGTGCTGCTGCTGCTATACTACTGCTAGGCAAGGCAAGTTTATTTGTATAGCACAATTCATACACAAGGCAACTCAAAGTGCTGAACAAAATAAGAAAGCATTAAAATCATAAATAATCACAGAACATTAAAGATAAAAATATAAAATCCCTCAGTTGTAGCACAGCTAAACAGAACCGTCTTTAACCTGGTTTTAAACATTGTCAGAGAGGAGGCCTGTCTCACATCTTCAGGAAGACTGTTCCAGATTTTAGCAGCATGAATCTGAAAAGCAGCCTCCCCATGTTTAGTTCTGACTCTGGGCACTAACAGGAGTCCAGTCCCTGTGCTCCTCAGAGTCCCAGCAGGAGTCCAGTCCCTGTGCTCCTCAGAGTCCCAGCAGGAGTCCAGTCCCTGTGCTCCTCAGAGTCCCAGCAGGAGTCCAGTCCCTGTGCTCCTCAGAGTCCCAGCAGGAGTCCAGTCCCTGTGCTCCTCAGAGTCCGGGCTGGTTCATATGGTACTAACATGTCACTAATATATTTTGGTGCGAGGCCATGGAGAGACTTGTAACAAGCAGAGCTGTTTTAAAGTCTATTCTCTGAGCCACAGGAAGCCAGTGCAGAGACCTGAGGACCGGACTAATGTGGTCGTACTTCCTGGTTCTAGTCAGGACTAATATGGTCGTACTTCCTGGTTCTAGTCAGGACTAATGCGGTCGTACTTCCTGGTTCTAGTCAGGACTAATGCGGTCGTACTTCCTGGTTCTAGTCAGGACTAATGCGGTCGTACTTCCTGGTTCTAGTCAGGACTTATGTGGTCGTACTTCCTGGTTCTAGTCAGGACTAATGCGGTCGTACTTCCTGGTTCTAGTCAGGACTAATGCGGTCGTACTTCCTGGTTCTAGTCAGGACTAATGTGGTCGTACTTCCTGGTTCTAGTCAGGACTAATGCGGTCGTACTTCCTGGTTCTAGTCAGGACTAATGCGGTCGTACTTCCTGGTTCTAGTCAGGACTTATGTGGTCGTACTTCCTGGTTCTAGTCAGGACTAATGCGGTCGTACTTCCTGGTTCTAGTCAGGACTAATGCGGTCGTACTTCCTGGTTCTAGTCAGGACTAATGCGGTCGTACTTCCTGGTTCTAGTCAGGACTAATGCGGTCGTACTTCCTGGTTCTAGTCAGGACTTATGTGGTCGTACTTCCTGGTTCTAGTCAGGACTTATGTGGTCGTACTTCCTGGTTCTAGTCAGGACTTATGTGGTCGTACTTCCTGGTTCTAGTCAGGACTAATGTGGTCGTACTTCCTGGTTCTAGTCAGGACTAATGTGGTCGTACTTCCTGGTTCTAGTCAGGACTAATGTGGTCGTACTTCCTGGTTCTAGTCAGGACTTATGTGGTCGTACTTCCTGGTTCTAGTCAGGACTTATGTGGTCGTACTTCCTGGTTCTAGTCAGGACTAATGTGGTCGTACTTCCTGGTTCTAGTCAGGACTAATGTGGTCGTACTTCCTGGTTCTAGTCAGGACTAATGTGGTCGTACTTCCTGGTTCTAGTCAGGACTAATGTGGTCGTACTTCCTGGTTCTAGTCAGGACTAATGTGGTCGTACTTCCTGGTTCTAGTCAGGACTAATGTGGTCGTACTTCCTGGTTCTAGTCAGGACTAATGTGGTCGTACTTCCTGGTTCTAGTCAGGACTAATGTGGTCGTACTTCCTGGTTCTAGTCAGGACTAATGTGGTCGTACTTCCTGGTTCTAGTCAGGACTAATGTGGTCGTACTTCCTGGTTCTAGTCAGGACTAATGTGGTCGTACTTCCTGGTTCTAGTCAGGACTAATGTGGTCGTACTTCCTGGTTCTAGTCAGGACTAATGTGGTCGTACTTCCTGGTTCTAGTCAGGACTAATGTGGTCGTACTTCCTGGTTCTAGTCAGGACTAATGTGGTCGTACTTCCTGGTTCTAGTCAGGACTTATGTGGTCGTACTTCCTGGTTCTAGTCAGGACTTATTTGGTCGTACTTCCTGGTTCTAGTCAGGACTAATGTGGTCGTACTTCCTGGTTCTAGTCAGGACTAATGTGGTCGTACTTCCTGGTTCTAGTCAGGACTAATGTGGTCGTACTTCCTGGTTCTAGTCAGGACTAATGTGGTCGTACTTCCTGGTTCTAGTCAGGACTAATGTGGTCGTACTTCCTGGTTCTAGTCAGGACAATGTGGTCGTACTTCCTGGTTCTAGTCAGGACTAATGTGGTCGTACTTCCTGGTTCTAGTCAGGACTAATGTGGTCGTACTTCCTGGTTCTAGTCAGGACTAATGTGGTCGTACTTCCTGGTTCTAGTCAGGACTAATGTGGTCGTACTTCCTGGTTCTAGTCAGGACTAATGTGGTCGTACTTCCTGGTTCTAGTCAGGACTAATGTGGTCGTACTTCCTGGTTCTAGTCAGGACTAATGTGGTCGTACTTCCTGGTTCTAGTCAGGACTAATGTGGTCGTACTTCCTGGTTCTAGTCAGGACTAATGTGGTCGTACTTCCTGGTTCTAGTCAGGACTAATGTGGTCGTACTTCCTGGTTCTAGTCAGGACTAATGTGGTCGTACTTCCTGGTTCTAGTCAGGACTAATGTGGTCGTACTTCCTGGTTCTAGTCAGGACTAATGTGGTCGTACTTCCTGGTTCTAGTCAGGACTAATGTGGTCGTACTTCCTGGTTCTAGTCAGGACTGGAGCTGCTGCATTTTGAATGTACTGCAGCTGTTTTACAGCCTGTTTGGACAGACCTGTGAGCAGGCCATTGCAGTAGTCTAACCTACTGGAGACAAATGCATGGATAAGAATCTCCAGGTCTGCTACTGCTTCTACCACTACTGCTCCTGCTACTACTACTGCTGCTACTATTGCTACTACTACTGACACAACTGCTGATACTACTACTGTAAGTAGAAATCAAGCTCAACAGGGTCTTCTTTCCCCACTGATTCTGCCAAGCCCGTTCTCTTGGCTGTGGTTTCTTAAGGGGGTATCTAGGGGCAGTGGGAATCTACGGCTAAGATAAGATAAACCAAACTACTGTTCTGTAACTTGTGATGCAAAAGTTAGAGATTGTATTGTATTGTTCCTTTCTCTTGTGCTGTGTGCTCCTCATTCCTCTGTTCTGTAACTGGCGACGCAACACTGACATTTCCCCGCTGTGGGACTAAGACCTCTGATTGGTCAATCGTCAGGGTTAGGGTTAGCATACACGAGTTAGCAAGAGCTGTTAGATAGTGAGGCCTAATCTAAAGGTGTTACCAAAAATACTTTTTGGCTTCACCTTTTCATCTAAACCCAGAGCGCACTCATGGACGGGTTTCGCTAACTTCGAGCGGAGATTGTCGATTGTCGGCTGCAGTTTTCGCGTCTCAATCCTGACGCGGTGAGACATGATCAGCGTTCTCGTTTGTCTTCATTAGATTCTGTGATGGAGGTCGCACTGGGCCCATCTGCCAATGAACAGGCCGATTACAGAACCAGAGACAAGACACAGGGGGGGGGGGGGGAGCACCAGAGCAGGGCTTCCCAAACTGTGGTGCAAGACAAGTTTATGGATTAGAAATGGTCATGAGCCTGTGCTTGATCTTTGTCCATTGATAGTGTGTAAGTAAGTACGTTTTTATTTATATACCGCCTTTTCACTGCAGATCTGAGTCTCAAAGCGGTTTAAAATTGTTAATTTTGGGCATTTGTCTCTCACTCCACACAGAGATGGGAGCGGGGCCAGTACAGGAGGCGCATGCCAGAACTATTGGACATATTTTTAGTGGTAGGGGAAACTGGAGTACCCGGAGGAAACCTACGCAGACACGGGGAGAACATGCAAACTCCACTCAGAAAGGCCCTGACCGAATCCGACCGGGATTCGAACTCAGGACCTTCTTGCTGAGAGGCGAGAGTGCTATCCACTCAGCCACCGTGCCGCTGATACCTAACCCTAACCCTTTTCTATTGGATCTTTTGGATTTTGGATCTGAAAATATATCATCTCTCTTCTTAAATGCAGCTTGTTGAATAGTTAATGAATGAATGTAAAGAAGAGTATGTTTCATTTTAGGCGTTATTCTAGGAAATTCAGAATAGAAGACGAGCAAACTAAACTCACAGCGCTCAAAGTCTTCCTGCTGCAGCTCCACACTGCCCTCACCTGGCAGCATCCGGCACTGCCCGCATCCAGGCGACAGCTTCACTCACGCCGCAACCCTCCTCCTCCCCATCTCTGCCTCATTCCTGACCAGCTCCTTCATTCTTTTCCTCGCTCCCACCACCAGGGTCGAGGCCCCGGGAGATTTAATCTCATTATCTCTGCCTGGGTCTAAGCACCAAATCCGAACCACATTCTGTCCAGCAGCAATAAATAATATATATTGTCCTCAGAGTCATATGTGTTATTTAAGTAGTGTCAAAATACTACATTCACATGTCATTATTCTTTCACTCCAAACACAGAGGTGATAAACTACTAATGTAGCCACAGCTGCCCTGGGGCACACTGACAGAGGCAAGGCAACCAGTGTGTGCCATTGACCCCTCCCAAGATTTCTATCTTTCTCACAACAATAGAAATCCTGGTTTTATTCCTTATAATTCACATAATTTTAGAATCATAACGAGACCTTTTTAAGTTCTGCGGCCACATGGTACTTCACCAGTGAGATTAGCTCCTTTAATGATGACTTTACATGAAAATCTTACATATTACTACTTTAAGGAGAAAATCAGAATACATTTATTGCCATTTGCAGCCAAAACTACATTGGTAAAAAAAGTGCTTTACAGGCTTTAGAGTGTGTGAGGTCACAAGTAGTATTTAAAGGAGGAAAATATACTCAGTACTTTTCAAAGTGTTACAGTTGGTCGAATGTTTGAGGTCATGGACCATTTGGAAGATCCGGCCGTTTGCTTCTTCGCTGTAGTTTTCAAATGATCCGTCAATATTTCCAAATTTTGTTCCTTCTTCATGATCCTTCTGTGCTATTTTATGAACGCTGTGTGTGTGTGTGTGTGTGTGTGTGTGTGTGTGTGTGTGTGTGTGTGTGTGTGTGTGCTGAAAATGGCAATATAAAAATCTAAATGAGTCCATATAAACAGGCTTGCAGCGCCACAGACCTGACTTTCACATCCTGGTCTCTACATCCAGGGCTTTCCCGAGGTTTCTCACCTTTTCCCAATGGGTCTTAGAGTTTTTCCTTTTGCCGATGCAGGACGGACATAACAAAAGGACAGTGATGATCCAGGACACTCCACATTCAACAATATTTATGGTCATTAATCAACATTTATGGAGCTTGGTCTCTGCCGCGTATGGACCAATACCAATGTGTTTTCTATCGGTGCGTTTCTTGTTTGAATCAGTGTGGGCGTGTTCAGGCTCAAAAGGTCCATGAGCACGTGCACTGACGGGCTGCAATCTCACTCTTTGCTGGTGGGGGTGTACCCGGAAAGAGAATGACCCAATGCTTTTGTATGGCGTCTTCTTTCCTCAGAAAAACCTCTATACAGGATGGTCCAAAAGTTGCTCTTAGTCCTAAAGTGGGTCTTGGTCCAAAAGTGGGTCTTGGTCCAAAAGTGGGTTTTGGTCCAAAAGTGGGTTTTGGTCCAAAAGTGGTTCTTGGTCCAAAAGTGGCTCTTGGTCCAAAAGTGGGTCTTAGTCCAAAAGTAGTTCTTGGTCCAAAAGTGGATCTTGCTCCTAAAGTAGCTCTTGGTCCAAAAGTGGGTCTTGCTCCAAAAGTGGTTCTTGGTCCAAAAGGGCCTCTTGGTCCAAAAGTGCCTCTTGGTCCAAAAGTGGTTCTTGGTCCAATGGAGAGAGGCTAGTGCAGCTAACACATGCACAAATGCGTTTTTTCACATTTTCTTGCCCCGCAGCCATTTTGAATAAGCCTCTGATCCGTGAGTTTTGTAAAGTCCTCTGTGATAACTACTGTTGTGATTTAGGTCAACACAAGAATACTTTGAATTTAATTGAACTCCTGCAGTATGGATACAGCAGCTATGATACTGTATGTCCGTGCAGATGATGTCCCGGGAGAGCATTACATGACGACTCTCGGAAGTACAAAGCTCGGACAAAATGAGGCAGAATTTTTTGATGAGTGGAGTTTGAGGGGATGGTGAGGGTCCCTTCTCTGCACTTCTGAAGCCTGCGCAGACAGCTGAGATCCTAGACTCACTGTGCAAAAGTGAACTTATAAGAATTCAAGTCTGTTCGGTATCCAGCCGCCGTGATCTGAAAGCCAATGAAGATCCCGAAGAGCCAGGGGAGTAGCAGAGGAGAGGGAAGCCAGGGCACTGCGCAAAAAACACCCTCTCACACAAGCATTCTCGCACGTTTTTGCCATAAAGGACTTTGCTTTCAGAAAGACATCTCTACCAGCTTTGAAGCAACATTTGTGGTTTAAGCTGTAACTTTCTGGTGCAGCTCTGGAAAAAGAACATTGAGAGCAAAGTAGATCTATCCGCAGTGGCCTTTCTGATGCCATTTGTGTTATTTCAGAGTTGTGACAATGGCACAGTTCTCGGGAAAGGGCAAAGAAAGATGTATTTATGTGAGTTTTTCAGGCACAAAACAAGTTGTGTGGAAATATGACTCTCAATAGACGCTGATCCTTGCACTGGGAAAGACATGTTTTAAAGTCCTGCTGTAAGTGAACCATCAGGATCTCTCAGGTCTGTCCTTTGTCATCCACGTCTCGTCAGTCTGACTCTTCACAGCAAAACGCTTTCTGATCGGAACATACCACAGCCTTCAGCAGCAGATGAAAAGGCACTAACAGGAGATACAACACAATACAATTCATTCTTGTATAGCCCTAAATCACAATAGCATCCTCTCAGAGACTTAACAAAACCATTGAAATCACCAACACAGATCAGAGAATCAACAGTTAAAACACAGAAAGAATACAGAGCACATGTTGTATCTATCTGCTTCTGAAACTCTACTCTTCAATCATTCAACCTGTTCTCCTCTTCTGCTCCCCCTGTTACTTTAACACGCTCTCCATCACCAACAGAAACAAACTCTCTAAAGCAGCCATTCCCAAACTCAGTAACACCGAGGCCCCCTTAAAAATCTGACGGGTCTGCGTGGCCCCCCCAAAATAATAACCAAGAAGACAACATTAAGAATAGGCTCTTCTGGTTATTTTATTTTGGGGAAATAGCCTCTGCTACAAACATTGTAATACAAAAATGATTACAGTGGATTATTCAAGTCAAGTAATGAACACAAATATTTTAATATTACAAACAAAAGATTATAAATTTAACATTAAATAATTTATTTTTTATTTTTTATGACCTCCCGCGGCCCCCCTGCAGTACCCTCGCGGCCCACCAGGGGGCCGCGGACCCCACTTTGGGAGACACTGCTCTAAAGTCTCACACACAGCATCCAAAATCATCAGTCTCCCCACCGCAGACCTCACAGCAGTAACACGCATGGCCCGGACAGTAAGCACAGACACAGACCGGGCCAGGACAGTAAGCACAGACACAGACCGGGCCCGGACAGGAAGCACAGACCCAGACTGGGCCCGGACAGGAAGCACAGACACAGACCGGGCCCGGACAGGAAGCACAGACCCAGACTGGGCCCGGACAGTAAGCACAGACCCAGACCGGGCCCGGACAGTAAGCACAGACCCAGACCGGGCCCGGACAGTAAGCACAGACCCAGACCGGGCCCGGACAGGAAGCACAGACCCAGACCGGGCCAGGACAGGAAGCACAGACACAGACCGGGCCCGGACAGTAAGCACAGACCCAGACCGGGCCAGGACAGGAAGCACAGACACAGACCGGGCCAGGACAGGAAGCACAGACCCAGACTGGGCCCGGACAGGAAGCACAGACACAGACCGGGCCCGGACAGGAAGCACAGACCCAGACTGGGCCCGGACAGGAAGCACAGACACAGACCGGGCCCGGACAGTAAGCACAGACCCAGACCGGGCCCGGACAGTAAGCACAGACCCAGACCGGGCCCGGACAGGAAGCACAGACCCAGACCGGGCCAGGACAGTAAGCACAGACCCAGACCGGGCCCGGACAGTAAGCACAGACCCAGACCGGGCCAGGACAGTAAGCACAGACCCAGACCGGGCCAGGACAGGAAGCACAGACACAGACCGGGCCCGGACAGTAAGCACAGACCCAGACCGGGCCAGGACAGGAAGCACAGACACAGACCGGGCCAGGACAGTAAGCACAGATCCAGACCGGGCCCGGACAGGAAGCACAGACCCAGACCGGGCCCGGACAGTAAGCACAGACCCAGACCGGGCCCGGACAGTAAGCACAGACCCAGACCATCCCCTCCACAGCAGCGTCACTCTGCTGCCCTCAGGACCTACAGCTATAGCAGCTCTTAACAGTCTGTAGTTTTGCCCTTGTTCCTGTGTTGTATGTGTTCCTCTCTCCTTCTGTGTCTATTGTAGCCTGTGTGTGACAGTGTTTGTGAAAATGAATCTCCCTCAGGGGACAATAAAGGTCTATTTGTCTATCTATCTATCTACTGTATCTATCTATCTATCTACTGTATCTATCTATATCTATCTACTGTATCTGTCTATCTATCTATCTATCTACTGTATCTATCTATCTATCTACTGTATCTATCTATCTACTGTATCTATCTATCTATCTATCTATGGAATTAACGTAATGTTTATGAAATTATCTGAATCCTAGACTGGTCCAAGACTGGTCTTGGACTCGGCTTAGACTGGTCCTAGACCGCAGCCTAGGACCAGTCTAAGACCATGGTCTTAGACTGGTCCTGGACTGGTCTTAGACTGGTCCTAGGCTGGTCTTGGACTGGTCTTAGACATCCTAGACCTGTCTTGGACTGGGCTTAGACTGGTCCTAGACTGGTACCAGCCCAGTCTAAGACGTCCTGGACTGGTCTTAGACTGGTCCTAGATTGATCCTGGACAGGTCTTAGACTGGTCCAAGACTGATCCAGGACTGGTCTAAGACTGGTCTTAGACTGATTCAGGACTAGTCTTAGACTAGTTTAGAGCAATTTCAGGTTGAAGCAAGTTCTGGTTACCATAGCAACACACTGCTTACTTGCATTAGCTTGTACCGTAGCTAGTTTGGCTGAATGTCATGTATATTAACGTATGGCGTGTGATAAAGATAAAAACATCAAAGCTTTGAATCCTCGTCCCTGGACAGTTTCCACAAGAATGTTTTTCCAATTGTCCCAGAAAGATTCAATTAGCATCAAACTGTCTTCATGAGAAACCACTTCCCTGGGTTGTGTTGCTGAACTTAAAACTCTTTGAAAACAAAAAAAGATATAAATAAAAAAATCATCTGTGGACTTTGAATTAAACTTGCTGCAGACACCGACTTGTTTTCTGTTTTCTCGGGGATATTAATGGTCTTGTGGTTATAACATGAGCCTCACAAATCTCTCAGTGGGAATCGGGCCGACACACTGCTCCCAGAGGAGGGGGGGTCACATCCCGCCTGGCTCCGGTTTAAAACATGTCAATCACAGTCAGACGGAGCTCTGACCGGAGCTTCCTCTCCCCCCACGCACACGTCATGATCGCAATGAAAATGTTTTTATTGCCTTGCACTGGTTCACGCTCTTGTAAGCATTGTTTTTGAAAAGTGGTTTACACATTAAGAAGTATTTGTTATTATGAATATTAGTATAGATATGAACGTTCTTATTGGCCGCTGATACAGACATCACATGTATTTATGAGATGATATTTAAGTTCATTCATTCATTTTCTACCTCTTTATTAATTCTTTTCTGAGTCGGGGGTTTCAATCAGAGCTGCACCCAATGCACCAGTCTCTCGCTTCAGGCAATGTGGGGTTAAGTGTCTTGCCCAAGGACACAACGCAGACTTGAGTGGGAGCAGTTGGAGTGGGTCTCATGGGGGGATCGAACACACAACCTTCAGGCCCAAAGGACACTGTCGCCCAAACAATAATATATATTTATAAGTTAGATATTTTTTTATATACAAAACAAAACCTAATTTTTACGTCAGGTGTATGTGTTTGAGCGCACAGTTAAAGATAAGATCAGCAGGTGAGACCAGAGAGAGACCAGAGAGAGACCAGAGAGAGACCAGAGGGAGACCAGAGAGAGGCCAGAGATAGACCAGAGAGAGACCAGAGAGAGACCAGAGAGAGACCAGAGAGAGACCAGAGAGAGACCAGAGGGAGACCAGAGAGAGGCCAGAGAGAGACCAGAGAGAGGCCAGAGAGAGACCAGAGAGAGACCAGAGAGAGACCAGAGAGAGACCAGAGAGAGACCAGAGAGAGACCAGAGAGAGACCAGAGAGAGACCAGAGAGAGGCCAGAGATAGACCAGAGAGAGACCAGAGAGAGACCAGAGAGAGACCAGAGAGAGACCAGAGGGAGACCAGAGAGAGGCCAGAGAGAGACCAGAGAGAGACCAGAGAGAGACCAGAGGGAGACCAGAGAGAGGCCAGAGGGAGACCAGAGAGAGGCCAGAGGGAGACCAGAGAGAGGCCAGAGGGAGACCAGAGAGAGGCCAGAGGGAGAGACCAGAGAGAGACCAGAGAGAGACCAGAGGGAGACCAGAGAGAGGCCAGAGGGAGACACCAGAGAGAGGCTAGAGGGAGAGACCAGAGAGAGACCAGAGAGAGACCAGAGGGAGAGACCAGAGAGAGGCCAGAGGGAGAGACCAGAGAGAGACCAGATGGAGAGACCAGAGAGAGACCAGAGAGAGAGACCAGAGAGAGACCAGAGAGAGACCAGAGGGAGAGACCAGAGAGAGACCAGAGAGAGACCAGAGAGAGACCAGAGAGAGACCAGAGAGAGGCCAGAGGGAGAGACCAGAGGGAGGCCAGAGGGAGAACCCAGAGAGAGGCCAGAGGGAGAGACCAGAGAGAGACCAAAGAGATACCAGAGAGAGACCAGAGGGAGAGACCAGAGAGAGGCCCGAGGGAGAGACCAGAGAGAGGCCAGAGGGAGAGACCAGAGGGAGAGACCAGAGAGAGACCAGAGAGAGAGACCAGAGAGAGACCAGAGAGAGGCCAGAGGGAGACCAGAGAGAGACCAGAGAGAGACCAGAGGGAGAGACCAGAGAGAGACCAGAGGGAGAGACCAGAGAGAGACCAGAGGGAGAGACCAGAGAGAGACCAGAGGGAGAGACCAGAGAGAGGCCAGAGGGAGAGACCAGAGAAAGACCAGAGAGAGGCCAGAGGTGTGTATCAGTCAGTAACACTAAGAGGAGGTGTGTATCAGTCAGTAACACTAAGAGGAGGTGTGTATCAGTCAGTAACACTAAGAGGAGGTGTGTATCAGTCAGTAACACTAAGAGGAGGTGTGTATCAGCAGGTGTAAGCAGTGACTAGTGAACGGCAGAAGCATCAGATATAATAATACAGTAATAACAGATAAAATGACTAGTGACAAAGTGAGTAGTGAGTTATCATCAGTGAGACTTTTACAGACTCAGCAGTTCTCGTTATACAGTCTCGTTAAAGGCCATTTGTCCTTGCTTTTGCTTTTGTCCATAAAGAAAGATGTTTTGTAGCCGCGCATGAATCTAAAAACAGGCCTGAGGGAGTTTTGCGATCGCTCTTTGGCCTTTCCGCTTATAAAGCAGCGTGGCAGGCGCTAACGGGCGGGGCCCCTCCATCCTTCAGAATAATTGCTCCTTGTTCTTTGTGGTTCCCAAAGGTCAGGACCGAGTCAAAGTTCCGGCTCTCCCACGGAGGAGATTTCACGGCTTCCACTGA